TGTCAGTTGGTTCTAGCTAATTCTCATCCACTTCAGACAGATTTTCTCTTGCGCACTCCGACACTCGTACGCACGTTTTCCAGCCAGGCATATATGGTGTCTAATCGACTGCATCGTTGTGGTTCATAGATTATTCTCTTGGCAAATGATAAAATGACTGATTTCGATGAACGAAGAATAACTTAAACGAGTATTTGATCGATCGGCCCTGATATTACCAAGGCATCGGAACGTGGCCAAATGTGCTGCAGCACGAGTAGTTACTTCCGGATATGGACGCTTATATACATGTATGTATTTGTCTTTGAGCTGTTTGTTTGTGTGTCTGTTTGTCTGGACAGAGTAGGTTGACAGCACGTGGATGGGAGGAAATTGACAGACAGAATGGCAGGTGATCAAAAGATTAGACACAGGAAATTGGGTAAACGTAGGTTGACAACACAGTGAATTTAAAGGTCAGAAAACTCTTTCCCGGGGGTCTGCGATCTCTGATTTCATGTTAGTCAGGAAAAGAAAGTCGATAAAGAATATACTTGGAAAAATACAAAATACGCTAAAAGAAAAATTAACAAAATACACAGATAGTACTGCCAAGTTTACGTCAAACCTCACGGCACCCCGCTTCACGGATGACTTACAGATAACATCGCTCTACTGACAGAACACTTAAACAGATTGTACATCCCCGGTGGCTCCGCTCGTGTGGCGCTGATAGCATTAGTGGGGTTTATCATGTTTAATCAGACCTCTCTTGCCTGATTCTGCCTCATCACCGTGAACTCTGTCACCACTAGGAAATGTAAAATTCTCCAAACCCACGTCTGGTACTGAATTCCTCTAGGGTTCGGTCACATACGTGATCGCAAACTGAAGGCATTCTTGGGACAGTGGTTGAAGTGTTGTTCTGCTGTCTTGCTACAGAAAAGGCCTTACACTAGTTCGTCATTGTTCAGCGTAGGAGCTACGATAGATGTTTGTCAATAGTTGGTCCCGTCACATACTCTTCAAGCAGAGGTTGATGAGGAAAGATGGTTTGCTTTTCATATATGGCCTTTTTTTGTCGCTACCCCCACCAGTGGGCCATATATAATAATGAAAAGCAAACGATCTTCAGCCTCTGCTTGGAGCGTACCGTCACAGCCCGTTTAAAGAGTCTACGACAGCAAAGCCGTTCGATCTACGACGAATTTGACCGCGCCGTTTTCAAAACCTCTCACGGTCTACAGACGGCACGATGCCCGAAATGAAAATTGTCTTGCAAATATCTCAATGATAACCAATTTGTGAGACAGGATTATTGAACCATACGCCTTTGCCACACGAGGCATCAGAACTTGGAGTCGTGTGGGAGCAGGGAGGAGCGGAAATGTCATCTATATTACAATCACGCGCGTGAATGTCATGACATGAGACCTGTGCGGAATCTTAACTATCAAGGTGGATTGTTGGGTCGACAGAAAATCAATTCAAATGACTGATATTGTTCTCCGAACTCTTTAACCTTCGATTCGTCGTCTATCGTCACTTAACTTCATGCAAGAGTGCACTTTGAGTGAATATCAGAAAGTCACATATTGTTAGTCTACACCGATGCATACATCGTTGTCGCCCACTGTGAAGCTGTTGTTGTTTATACAGATAGGGAATTCTGGCATAGCTGTTTAGTCACGGCCCCGTAACGTCGACATCGAAACAAAAACGTTGACTAGCTGAGGATTCTCTCGGTTTGAATTGCTACCTCCGGGTTCAGAAGTATGGTTTTGAGCCGTGGGTTTGTGTAATTGTTGGTTCGGACAGGGTAGTTTGACAGCACGTGGGGCGATTTACCGGCAGAGTAACAGGAGGTGAAAGGCCCCAGAATCTGGCCGAGAGCCAACATGAATCCATTAAAGGAGATGGGGAATTCAGAATGTTGAGGATTGCATACTGCCTGCCATGGAGTCTGAACTCTCCGATTCCGTGTCAGAAAAGCTATCGGGTATTTAAAGGGCGTTGAAACCCCGCTTAAATTAGGTATAAAGGAATCAATAGTTTTGTACTTTTAACATTTACAAGATGGTAGTAGCAAAATCATGACAAATTGCTTTAAACATACAATTTATCATCGTTAATTCCAAGACAATGTGCAGGAGCCTTGAAGGCCTTCATTAAGCATACTAATGTATGATGAAGAATTTTCAAACCGGGCGTGACGAATGCACGATCACGCTTCCTTATTCATAACTGCGGCCCGCTTAAGTTGTTTTCAGCTCAAGAACGTATCGAACCCAGGTACCCTCGCCCACTGGCAGCGTCACGCTGATGGGTGTGGATGGATGGAGCTGTGCCCAGGAAACCCGATGAAAACTATGGATTAATGGTTCCACACATCTCCGCTCGTGCCCCAGTAGAACGTCACCTATGCCCTACATAGGCGATACGAGCCACAGCGACCAATATCCGATTTGTGTGACCCTTCATTTCATAATAAAAATATAATACAAGATGTAAAAGTATATTCTAAAGGAGATTGAAACAGATAAAACGTAAACAATTCGTTCTTTATGTATAAAAATTTGTTGAGCCATCTGTCAAATCTTTGGTCGCTCAGCGGTCTCGGCCTCTAGTGGAAATGATGTTATGAATATTTGCAGTCAGGAGAATCAGACCTGAGTGATTGCGACCCTGGCTTCTGTCTACTGACTCTCCTCAGAACTACCCAATCACAACACTTCGCCTTTAAATCACCTTGAGACTCGAGACGCGTGCACAGGAGAGCTGATGAAAGCGATGTCTTTGTCTGGATTCATTTGATGAAATATCTGACATTCAATAATGCTTCGTCTTTTGTTACTTTATCCTTTTGAAGGCTTTCTTGGAAAGGCTAACTGGAGGCCCCAAAACAATTAATTAAGGAAATAGAAGAATGCAGATGGAGAGGAGGGGAACGTCTGAACTTGTTGCCATCACCGAACTAGTGCTGGACATTCAAATGAATCACAGCTGAGCTTTTTTGTATTTTTGCAAAAGGCGAAGATAAATTTTCCTGCCTAGATCGTTGTGATCTTTCCTGCAGAGTTATAACTACACTATATCAATGTCTAGCATGCAGCAGTGGATATTTCTGTGCAAATTTTTAATCTCACCATGTTGTCATCCCAGTGGTTCTACTTTATTACTGTACATGTCAAACCGTCATCAGGGTCCCGACAATATTTCACAACTGACAAAACCAACAGAAATACAATACAGCCGTGCAATGATGTTGAATGAATGCCACGCATTTGGAATTTTGCGACAACACTGTAATCATCTTATGATCCGACAGTAGTATTTTTTCGGGGGGGGGAGGGGCCAATATTCCCAGGACTGTTTAGGCACAGTTTGGGGCTCGTCATTTAAATTTAAACTTTCTAAATTATACAGTATTTCTTTACTTGGCAGCATGTTTCATCTTTAGGAGCTTCGTGAGTTAACAGGCTTGAGGATCACTCATTACTCCATGAATATTTACAGATGTGACCCATTAGAATCTAATTCCCGCACGAGGTACAAGACACAAGATGGTTGGATTGGGAATCGTGGTGTTGACACTGAATTGAAACCAATTTAGGGTTTAAAATAGAAATTCGTTAAAAAGGTGATTACAGTGGTTACTTGTCGAGATTACAGTGGTTACTTGGCGAGAAACCGACAACGGTTGGAATTAATCAGTTGTTGAAACCGTCCGTATCCGTGATTTAACACCGAGCTACGCGATAGCGCTTGTTAATTAAGAAGCAATGACATGTAATGGGTACATTCTTCTTTAATTACATTAACTAGATCTAGCTTAGTGTGAATATCTAACTACTTGGAGTTACCGTCATCTGTCGGTACTGGTGTTTCCATGCCGTTTGTTCCTTTCATCTGAGACGTGCGTGGTAAATCAATTTGACGTAAATGAAAAACATGCTCTGTTAGTTGTCGCACCTCATTTACGTAATCCTGTTTACTTATCGCTACACCAGCGTTCAATTCTACACATCAACTCACTGCAGTGACTGTTCGGCCATATGCCTTTTTCGGCGTCAGTGCATTGCTGACTGTCAAACGGCAGATCGCACTGCCCTAACTCATAATCGATTTATACGTAATACAGGGAACATGTTAGTGACGAACCAAATACATCATTACATGTTTAGTGTCTAGTTGTGGTGTCAACATAAGTTCTGAGAACTTTGAGTGTGCCACCACTATGTCTGGCTGTAAGGCTCTAAAAGAAGACACAATGATATTACTTTTTCAAGATTATGAGACTTTATTCATGATTATCCTTTCAAACAGGCAACATTTTTAGACAACAGCAACCAGAATGACGGGTTGGTGACAAGTTATCTGTACAGCACTAGTGACACACGTACGATATCCACGATTCAGGAGATTTCACTCTGTCTACAATAACTTCACTGGAGCACATCGCAATTCTTTCCGTGTCATACGAACATGGCTGTTACAATATATCTTAATCTATCAGGTTAACGACTAACACAATTCGATATCAATTAAAGAGAATCATACATCTAAGTCAACCCAGTTGGGCCCTGTCTTGTCCAATGCTCCACTTTACCACTACGAATACGACGACACCGTAGTGCAAAGGCTGAACATTGTCCATAGGTGGCATTAAAAGGACTCTCAGAAAAACGTATGTTCCTGAGGTCTATATATAATAATTGGATGCAAAGGTCAAATCAAATCAATTTACTAGATCTACAGACTGCTACAATACGCACATAATACTTGTTCCAAGACACATTAGTTTACTACTTATCAGTCCTTTCTGACATTTTTTTAAAATCAAAGATAACATTAGATGGTGTCTTTCATAATGGATCATCCGAACTCTATAAATCTAGTTACATGCAGAGTTCTGTTTGGTGAAGGTGTGCGTGTGCCGCTGTTATCACGTGTGCCCGACGGGGATGATCGATCAGGTTGTTTGTGTGGATGTGATTCCGTTACCCCCAAGTCCCGATCTTGTGATCTGATCTGATCCGGTTGTTTAGGGCGGGATCCCGGAGTGATGTCGTTACCCTCATGTCCCGATTTTGAGCTGATCTAGTTGTTTGGTGCGGGTGTGATATCGTTAACCTCAAGTCCCGATCTTTTGATCTCATCCGCTTGTTTGATGTGGGTTAGATCGTATTGCCGCCAAAACGCGATGCCATGGATGCTTGTTCGTGACGAGTAAAGATATCTGCTGCCGCTCGGAGTAGTTTCCTGTTGTTTCTCGTGCCGCGTCTTCACGACACTGTGAGTTCCTGCAGCTGGATCTTGAGCTGCTGCCGCCTGCTGCCGTCCCGGGACGAGCAGCTGGAGTGGACCCGGCGGAAGGACGAGCGGCTGGACAGGGTGTAGTCCTCGGTGCGCATGGTCGGGAACCGGCCCTGTCTCTTCCCGCACAGCAGGAAGCGCCGGAAGGCTCGCCGGAAGTGGCCGTTGGAGCATGCGTAGATGATGGGGTTGAGGAAGCTGTTGCAGTAGCCGAGCCAGAAGGCCATGGTGATGAGGAGCTCCGGCACCTTCGCTATCATCGAGTCTGCAGAAACACAAGAACAAGTACACTGAGTCAAGGGTGATTTAAGATGAAACAGATGTAGGGATGTTCAACATAACCAAGGCTGCCACCGCCTACAGCATTATCTACAACACCCTCATCTAGTGTGTGACGTGAGTTCCGTGACCTTGAACTCTGGGGTCACATGATGACCTTTCCGGAGCTGAAAAAAGATGTCATTTGAAAGCGTCTGCACAAAATGTACTTTCAGACGTGTATAACAGTTTATATTGTTTGAATTTTCTATTCACTGTATTGTTGACTCAAACCATTTGCCATGTTGAAGAAGGTTGACGAGATCGGCTGAAAATTTATGGTGAGTTCCTTTCCTGTTTTGGAAAAAAGTTTAAGCTCTACAGCCATTTACCATATTGGCTTTTATTGAGTTTTATCAGATTCATCCTACACATTTTCACCATTACCTCCGTGCTAGAGCGTTACCGAACGTTCCACCCTCTATAAACGGCATGGTAGACGTGAATACATGACAAATGGCTTTTTACAGCGAGCAACAGGCCGCAAAATGGGGATCATTACACTCAGTCGAATGAAACAGCCTATTATGTTAATGGAGAATACCACCATTTACAAACGATTTCCATCAACTAGAATAGAATTTCCGCTGGTATCTTTTTGACTGAATTTTTAGCGTCAAATTTAAATGGTGTCAGATACAAGTTCGATTTCAATCCAGCGCACAATGGCGTATTCATGACATTATTTTCGCGGAAAACAGTAATCCTCCAGCTAAGCATCCTGTGCAACACGTGTCAGAGTTTGTTCATCTATCATGCTCAAGATTACTGCAGCGGTTTTTGTGAGGGGCATCAAATCGTCATTTTTCATCGCGGCACAAAGACCAAGGCTGCCGGGGTGTGAAATTGGCACCCGACTAAGTTAAGCAAACCTTGAAATGTTGTCTCGAAATTGGCCACCCTTCAAAATATATAATGTCACTTGATTGCTGTAAGATTAAGATAACATAAAATTGAACTTTGAATAAAAGTTATGCTGTGACAGTAAAGGCCAGACGAGTCTACACGGCTTGACAGGTTGACAGTTTTTGTTTGCGACCAAGTGTTGTTGTACAAATCAGAATCAATGTCAGATTGAGACTTTAGGCGAGGTAGATGACGTCACAGATCCCCTCATAGTAACCGAGTCGACCGTAGTGCAGTAGATTCGTAGGGTTGAGATAAGATGGAGGCGTTTTCTTGTCCTGTAATAACTGTATACTGTTTGTGACTTAAGTATGGACCTACCCAGAATGGAACACACTAAGAATAGAACAAAATTAACACAGGCTATTGATCTTAAATTAGTAACGGTAGTTACCTCGCCTAGTTTAACTTTTATGTATGCTGTCAGGGCAAATTTAGATATCAAAGGATTGTACTATTCGGGTCATAAAAGAGCTTATTGACCTGGAAGTTCGTAAATATAAGCATACAGCAGTAAGTCTCACTGTTTCAGGATTTAGACCAAATAGACTCGACGGAAATCACGGCAGTAAACTCGCCCTATCCCGGGGACAGATGTACGCATATGATTACCCATGGATCATCAGCGTGATCACGAAAGAACTGATTAAGTAAGGCGAATGATGTAAATGTCAAATAATGACTTTCATACAGGACAGTCGACCTTCCTTCATCAGCAGGGCTAAGAGCGCGGGGCGATTAATTATTATTCAGTAACATTTTTTAACTTTAAGGCCACAAGATAGACGGTTGCTGACATTGGTGCTGGTAACAACTGAACCTTGTGACAGATGCATATTGTTTGTTTGTTGCAAAAACAAAGCTTAGGTCTAATATTGTAACTGCATGTATCAATGATATAATGGTAATTACAAGCCTAATATTCACTTCAACATAACAGATACAGTTATTATAACAAGTCAAGTAGGGTGCTATACGAAGTGTGCCCCTCATCGCATCCCGTGCACTGGCCTGTAACCGTCGTGACGGCTGACTGTCACAGGGCCACCATGTCGTCTGAATCAACATAAACCTTCATCTAATACTCTCCTCTCAGGAGACCATGAACTCTCTGTTCATCAGAACCAGAGTCTAAAGTTCATCGCCAATTTCCAGCGGTAATTTTTTCTTTAAATCTGAAGCTGCGCTTTGTAATCGCATTTGACATCAACCGCTGACGTGATACCGCTTGTAATTGCATTTAACGATGACATATATGATTGCATGTACATCTCAAATTGATATTCAATATAGATGCAAATATCCATATGCCTTGTTAAGGAATGAGCACATCTTTTTCATTTCCTGTTATCAAAGTATCGCTCATTCTCATACAACCTGCAACAAGGAGGTAAATAGAAATGTCGACCGCGCACTGTACCACAGCGGGATCGCAGATTCAGGGAAAACTGAAAAACGAGCAACTAATTAATGTAAATTAGTATTTCATTTGCATGATAAATGAGAAACGTTTACAATTCATCAGTCGTAGACGTTAACACCGGTACCATCTCTCTAAGGTATGAGATCCCGGAACTCTTGTATTACAACGTTTAATATTCGTTTTTATGCATGAAATTTGTTTGCCTGCTTGGCGGTCGCGGCCTCTAGTGGAAAGGGTGTGTAAAAGGCACTTGGAGGCTCGTTGTTACGTGTTACGTTGTTACTCCAAAATGCGCAAAAGGTCACAGATTACGCCGTGAAGTGTGTGGCAGACTGCCATCGCCTTACATTCGTTCCGCTGACTAGGCGTTGAACCGGTGCGCTCCTGAAACTGTAATAAACATGAAATGGGAATTGATCAACCTTCCCCACAGTACAAAGACAGGCGAACTGCCGCAGCTCTGTAGCCGACCCGTGAGCGTGTAATCGATTGACCCGCAGGTCGGGTTAATGCCGTGCCGGATTGCCGTGCCCGGGTCCCGTCCCGCCAAATTCCACATCTTAATCAATCCGTCACCTAAACTTACTGCTGTATGCTGTGTGATTAGTTAAGTGATTTAGCTGCATGAAATGAACTTAGGGTTGGGTGATGTCAAAATGTAACAAATAGATGTGTTAGTACATAATACATGTACTACCCGACATCTCACAGCCAGTATTATTTTATTCCATCTGGCAGTATTGCTGTTTTGACGGTCCTTAGATTTGGCAGCAAGCCGTGAAAGCAGAATCGTTTTGACATGATGTTTTCCGCAGCACGAGGGTGGAGGACGTGTGCGCTTTCTGGCACCAGAAATGGCTGTACTCACTCGGTTTGTTCGAACGTACGACCGTATCGTACGTACTGCATACAGGTCCTGTAGTTTACACGCGTACATGTATACACACTATGTAGAACATACATGTACAGGCTCTGTAGTCGACACATGTACAGGCTCTGTAGTCGACACATGTACAGGCTCTGTAGTCGACACATGTACAGGCTCTGTAGTCGACACATGTACAGGCTCTGTAGTCGACACATGTACAGGCTCTGTAGTCGACACATGTACAGGCTCTGTAGTCTACACATGTACAGGATCTGTAGTCGACACATGTACAGGCTCTGTAGTCGACACATGTACAGGCTCTGTAGCCCATACGTGTACATGCTCTATCCACATGCACAGCCTTTAAAACGTACTGTAATTTACAGGCTATAATTCCTTCAGCTAGCTGTATAAAATATATACAGGCTTTACAACTGAAACAGGCCAGGTTCTAAAGTAGTGCCTACGGGCTTAATTTGTGTTTCCAGTAGCCCCAATCATTTTATCAGAATCATTACAGTTCAGTGATATACTGGTTCTTACAGTTCGTACAGCAATGATACTTACTTTTACACATGTATTTACACAGGAACGCACCGTTAGACGATGATTGATTATATCAATCGCCAAATAATCGTCTTAGCACCGTAGTCACGTGATTATCCTCCAGGGCAAGCTTGCTCCAGAATCGTGAAGTGGGAATATTACACCAACGGTACACTGGCTATGCCTTAATCCTCGTGTATCTTATGATTAGTGCACTTAATGATTGTTCTGCGTGCATCGGGCCTTCCAGCTACAAATGTGTATCAAGCTGCCAAATATACCACACACTAATGACGTCTTTTGTATGCACGTATTGACTGATAAACCACGGATGTAATGTAGACATGTGTTATCAGTTCTAGTCCAGACATCGTGTGGAGTTAATTACTCCTTGCTTAATGTATGGCAAAACCATGCCAAAATGTAAGCCGGGACCCAAAACTTACATCTTACCAAAATGGCTAATCGCCCATCTCTCCGATTTGTAAGTAGAGACACATTGCTACTCTCCAAGCAGAGGTTGACTGGGAAGATTGCGACCTTCTTTATATATGTACTGTTTTCTGACAGCCAGTCCAATCTTCGATGGCATATTCACTGGATAATATCTTAACTGTCGAATACGGTCATGCCGGTTGGATACGACGTTCCAACCGGTAGATCTGCTTGGCGATTAGTATATAGCCCATGGCCACTTGTGCAAATCCCCTTTGGCTTTAGTTGCCTCAAGAGCAATTGAAACATGATTGATCTTTAATAGCCTCACGAGGCCAAACTACAATGTACTAAAAGATTAATGGTTAATGAATGCACTCAGTTATAAAAACAGCATAATCTTCTCCAAAACAAAGACTTCGCTGTATTTATGTCATATACTGACTCGAGTTTCCTTATGCCTAGGCCAACTGATATCTAGCGCTCTACGCAAATGTGATTGCATGATGTCAAATTTGTAATGTCGACTCATGTACATCATTCTGGTTATACCTGTGCACTATGAATAGGAAAGTGTAGTGTAGATATTAGACCAGTTATATAGCATTGTTTTTCAATTTGCCTAGCATGCCATTGCATCCGTTATAATTGTTGTTCAATACAGTTGATTTGATACGAAATCGTGCTTACCTATCGGGTACATGACGAAGAAGGGCAGCCAGCAGACGAGGAAGACGCCCACGATGATGCCGACTGTCTTCGCGGCCTTCTTCTCCTTCGTGAACTTCTCGATCCTGTTCTTCACGGAGCTGAGAGCCTCCCTCGCCATGCGGGGCTTGCTGGAGTTGGGACTGAGTCGCGGCGGGGAGAGACGCTTTTCCGCGGTGACGGACGCTTTCCCGCGGTGGATCCGGACGGATTCCACCGGCGTCTGGTTTCTGTCCTCCTGGGCCTTGAGCGTGATCATCAGCTTGGACGTCTCCCTGACGGCCGCTCGGTACACCTGCCGGTACACGTACAGCACGACGAAGGCGGGGACGTAGAAGGAGCCGACGACTGAGAAGATGATGTAGCTCGGACTGCTGTTTATGTTACACTGCATGTTCTGATAAGACTTGGGGTGCTTCCAGCCGAAGAGCGGGCCGACGGAGATGGCGGCGGAGGTTGCCCAGACGGCGAAGAGGATGAGGACGACTCGCCGCTTGGTGACGATCATGTTGTGGTGGAGGGGTCGGGTGACTCCGATGTACCGGTCCAGGCTGATGACGCAGAGGCTGAAGATGGATGCGGTGCAGCAGAGCACGTCCACGGCGGCCCAACAGTTCGCACAGGGCTTCTCCGAACGGCCAGTAGTTCAGCAGCTCCCTGGTGGCGGAGAACGGCAGCACCAGGCAGCCCAGCAGCAGATCTGCAGCCGCCAGGTTGATGTAGAAGTACCCGATGTTGGTACGGAGACTGCGCTCCAGGCAGACCGCCAGCACTACCAAGACGTTGCCTGCTATGGTCAGGATGCAGATACAGCTGAGGACGGCCCCAACCAAGAGACTGGCCGGTAAACTCATTCGGAGCCCGAGAATCTGACTCGGGTGGTCCGCTTCTGTCACATTCCAGGTCCCATTGTTGTCATCTAAAGTGAAATTGTCCAGTTCTAGTGGCAGACCGGCCATTGCGCGGTGTTCTTAGTGTGCCGACACAGAGTGCAAAGACGCTGTGTACGTCTCACCACGCGCTTTTAAGTGCCACTGCAAAGGACATCGGTACTGATGCCCGTCTCATTTTGTACAGAGGGGTGTTGCCGGCTGCCGTGTTTTGTTAATTATTATCTGCAGCATTTATTGTTGATGATGAGAACCAAATTGCTAGTGGATTTTATGACCCTACTTTTTGTACTTTGTAATGTCAAATTACTTAATTGCAATATAACATATGCAAAAGTCTATTTTGCTCTACATTGACATTGGTAGAAACCACATTGTAGTCCATGTGAGGAGGCCTATTCCCACAGATGGTGTTCTACTTTCCTGTTAATGAAATGTCTCTCAATACATTTCAAGAATCTTCACTGTTTTACTAAGCGATTAATGTAGGCAGTGCGTTTGCAAACTGAATGCTAAACTACCACTTAGAACGTTTGAAGCATAACAATCTAAGATGTATACGAATGGCCTCCTCTGTCTCACGCCAGGATATTCACTTAACATGCACGACAGGCAGCTGTAACTACATCACTGTGTCTCCACAGGAAACAAATTACACACATTTAAGAACAAACACGTCAAATGCTGGCAAATGGGTGGGCTGACGTACGGTACTTTGCCTACATTATGGTCCGGTAAAGGATTATGGCCTAAATAGCGCAGATCCAACGCAACCCATTATACAACAATAAATAACATAACGGACATGGTACGAGAAGACTACCGGGCCATGGTAATTCCGAACTGCGGTTTAAGGCGTGGTCATGCTCGTCGTACGGTTTTGGTGTCGTAAGGATTTTCCAGCAGGCTGTGACAGAACTAACCGCTGACAAGGATCTAAGAGAGGCTTTTCTCTCGATCTGTAACAAGACACATGAATTTCATACGACATTAATGCGACTATCCCGAGCCCTCAGTTCGCAATCGTACAACGATCACACGATGAATGGGACGGGCCCTTATAAGCTGATAGTAACTCGCTCAGAATTGATTCCTGAACGCGTTTTGGAAGTCTCATGTTGGGATTGGTTGAGGTTTCCCAACATCTTACCATACAAGACATTGATTTACTCACGCTTTGTCGTATTAAATAGATAAAAAGTTCCATCATGCTAGCTAACATCAGGATACATACACGGTCGTGCCCTATCCATACGGAAACACTTGTCGCCATGAGTTAGATTCGAGAGAGATTTAGAACATCACTACATTCTACTTATGTGAAAGCCTACTGAAACTGTATGTAACTTTCATCCTCATCACTTCTAATTAATGATCAGAAATGTGTTGACTGGATTTCTGTAAAACTTCTTTGGCACTTCTTTGGTATCAAATCACTGCATCTGTTATGTTCAGGTGCCCATTTCTGGTTGTACGGCTGCCCATTTCCATCCACCCGCCAACCCACGGCGTGTACAGGGCAGACTGGCTGCCCGCCTATGGGCACATCAGACTGATAATGTACGCTCCGCGAGGTCTCTAAGGGAATGGCATCCCATTATCGATAACTACACCACACAATGGCATGCTATGGCAGAATGACATTTAATCATGTAACCAGCTATTAACCGATGATTATATGATGTTGGGGCAATGACGTGCAGCTCCTGTCGGCAGTTTACGTCACGACACGGGGAGACAACGTTAAAGCCCCACAATTAGGACCTTCCCCTGACCTTGCCCTCGTTAATTACCCAAACAACCAAAGTTCGGGTTTGGTGCAGTCTGGCCTAGCCTGGAGTCCAGTCTTGTTAGCTTTGTCCGCTCCCCAAGATCCGCTACCCAGCTTGGCTCAGCTGGCCCGGCGGGACCAAAGCTAAGAAGGCTGGACTCCAGGCTAGACTGGCCAGCGTTAGGCCACATCTTTTTCACCACAACAGTTTCACAACCAGTACGTGACCTACTGCCAACCGAGCCACGAGCCATGGGACCTCCCCTCAACCACTTCCAACCATCTCCATTAGGGATAACTTATTACCTTCGCCAAGAAGGTTATGTTTTCGTAGGCGTTCGTGTGTCTGTGTGTGTGTGTGTGTGTGTGTGTGTCAGCACGATAACTCAAGAAGGCTAAGATGGATTGTCTTGATATTTGGTAGGTGGATAGGTCTTCATGAGACGTGGAACTGATTAAATTTTGGGCCCCCTAGCGGCTTGTTATGGTACTGTAGCTGAACTTCCGGTTTTGATATCTCGTGATCTAGACATGCTAGGGTGACGAAATTTGGATGGTAGGTAGCTCTTGTGCTGGGGAAGAAGTGATGTGAGTTTGGCCTCCCTAGCGGCTTGCTCTGGAACTGCAGGGGCGTTAGTTGAAAAATATTTAAAGGCGGATAACTCTAGAACCGATTGATGGATCGTCGTGATTTTTGGCATGTAGGTAGCTGAAGTGATGCTTAACAAAATGATATTATAATTATGCATATATTATTGTAATTTGCATAATTAATGAGGAAATTCTATAAATCAGCTGCATTCCATGATAGGACTATTCAAGCTTGTGACATATGTAATTAAGAACGGCAGAAATACAGGCAGATATCGATTATGCAAATGAAGACTTAATTTGCATAATTAATGAGAAAATGTTATATTTACATAGTGGTAACTGCCTGGAATTTCATACTTGGGATATTTGAAAGTTATGTGAAGGTGAACATAATTAAACATAACTTATTCAAATAAGGACCTCATTTGCATAATTTATGAGGAAATGCTATAATGGCATCCTTTGATAAGATAAGACTGTCTTCTGGTGTAGAATATGATCAACAGATATAATTGATGCAAATATAGGATCCTATTTGCACAATCAGGGGGATTAATCTATAATTTCTTACTCATAAAGGCTAACATCATTTGGCGAAGGTATGAGATCGTGGAACTCTAGTTATATATATAGAAGGGCTGCCTTTTTAACCCAGTTCAAGCGGTGCTTGCGTTAATGTATCTTGCGCCTTTAGATCCTCTTTTCCAATTTTCTGAAACAGGCAGATCAAATACGTTAAAGAAAGAAATGGCCTCCCGGACTTTCAATGGTTTGTCCGCCACTCCTAGCGTCACGTTTTCGCTTTAAAGTTGTACCGCTCCAGTGACATGTGATCCCGTAGATCAACAAATGCTATCACTATCCTTCTTAGGTGGAGTTTCTTTTATCTTAATGGATGCTAGTGATTAGCCACTGAAATATCTTGAAAGGTTTTGGAGAATTATGTCTTCGTGAGACTTTTACCTAATGTACCTAATGTTTCAACACCGTGTTGCCTGTACTGCAGTCATGCACTATTGCCATACTTATGCGCTGCGCAAAGAGAAACATATATCAACACATAAACGTTAACATGTCGAGAACATAAATCAGGCATAAAGCGAACACATCATGAGCGAGTCTCTGCCATTTTTCTAGTTATTGGTGTGACTGAAAGAGTGTTCAAATGGCTCCAGTATCGCTAATTGATTTATTTTGCGGCGGACGCTCAGGCTATTCACAACCTGGTTCGTGGGGTCGTGTGGCGTAGCGGCAGAGTGCTTGACTCGGAACCAAGAGGTCCTGAGCTCGAGTCCTGACATGCCATCGGATCTTGTGCCCTTGCACTAACACGACTTTTCCTCACTTCGCTCAGGTAAGATGAGTATTATATTGTCCCATGTGTTGGTGGCGGCATTAATATAAGTTGAAGAATCTTGAGTGTGCCGTCACCACGTCACGTGATTACATGTTTGAATATATATAAAAAGTTGGTCTGTGAGATAACTCTCCAAGTAATACCTATAACGCCGAAAAATTATGAATGAACTGACAAATTTATATGAAAATTGTTGGTTACTCGATGTATCGTTACGGGAAAAATATTTGCAAATTCGATATCGATTCGTATACAGGTATGGTTGCACTCAATCTGCTTAGACTGCTCACGAACGTCAGCCAACCTTAGTTGGTTAGTGGTCGGGGGAAGGTTCTGAATGTATCATCGTATGACAGGGGCTTCACCTTGCTTGGTATCAGAATATTAAATATTAAGACTGCATTCTTCAAAGGTTGATCTAATTACTGGTGATAGAAGAGGGAAAGAGTGTTACTACTGATCTTATACATGTAATCCAATTTGAACACAGTACGCACAGCGCTAATCGTGTTTATACTTACCGTTAGATCGTTATCTAGTAAACGCCTACAGCTCTCGCATGACGCACCGGTGCAAAACAAACCGATAGCGACTGATGTTCCATATTGTATTCGTCACTCGCTAGCCACGAAACAGTCATTTTCTGTCTAGATAATTTATGGTTTGGTCGTCGTTATCCTACTGTAGCTGTGATAGTGTAAACATCAGAAGCAGAGCAGTGAAAAGAAATGAGTATTTCCTGGGCCGTCTCCTGTTGGCACGGGCGACCATTTCGTCGTACTTGATAAACCAGGGAGCGTACAAGGGCGGTACCAAAACTAAAGCCAATTGTACATTGATTTGCAAATTCCTCCCTTCAGTAGTTATTATTCATTTGATTGATTTACCTCAATATCATTTAATGTATTGCATAGTTTGAACCATTTATTCTTCTGTTATGTTATGTTAAGTTCCTGCTTACCATTAAGTTGCCTTATTTTAATTTTCTCCTTGATTGTACATAAGGTTGTTCATTTAGCACAAGGTCAATGACCTGAACCAGACGTCTGTAACCATGGTAACTAGTATTGGGCTACACCATGTTGCAATTTTGTAGCAGGAGGGATTTGGACTATTGTCATCATATATGAATGTGTTTGAGTAAGAATTAATAGAGCAGACCATATGCGAAGGTAAACATTATGCATTTGCTTTGCAAATGTTACCTTTCTATTATTCTTATTATTTCCTGTGTTTGGAGCTTGCGAATTGGATCTGCACAAAGGTCACTACATCATGCATTCACGTACCTCACATTTTGGGATCAGCTGGCGTTTATCCTCCATGTGCCAAACCGGATGGGTAGATTCATTCGTAGGCGTAAGTGTTAAAACCCTTGGTCTATTCTTGCGAAATGTATCGAGGGATGCAAAGACCAAAAGTCAAACACGAGATGGCCTTAGTAAGTCTCTTCTTATGTTGGCTCCAGTTCGCTCCAGCAAATCACGCCAGACAAATGGGTGTGGGAACCCGGCTTAGCCTACTTCGACTTTTGGTCAGTGCAATTCCCATCTCGTATGAATAAATGTTACTACTAAGCTCTACCAAGTAGAAAATCTAGAGTTATTTGAACCCAATAGGGGCACAGAAAGTGATGGGAACGGTGTAACCGTACACTGACAGAAAGGTCGAATTGTAGGTCAAAAATGGTCTGAGTGCAAGTAAATGCTATGATGGAGGAACCCAGGCAAGGATAGCATGTGTGCAACAGTTGAATGTGCACAGAATCAGAGAGAAATTCACAACAATAAATAATAAGAAAACAGGAAATTCATGACAACTCTAAATACTTCACAGAGTTTCAAGTTTTGTGGTTGTTGTTGGGTTGTTTTTAGGCCACGTCTTGTACCTACAATACCGCCCATCTCACCATGCATATACAGTAAAATCTGTGCATCTGAATCCGCCGGGCACCATCGCCACCAATCAGCCGGGCAGCCGTCAGTAACAACATGGTAACAACCACGGCAATCCACAATCATTCGCACCGCAAGCCTCCGGGTTCACACACCCACACTGCTTTGTTACTTTCTGAGAAATGATAATCGCTCGTGTGTCAGTTGTAACTGAATTTTAAAAAATCATGGACAGTTTTTGTGGCAATGATCATGCACCTGAACAATAAACTGTTTTCTCCATCGGTTCATTCAATCCTCATCGCTCTGTTACAGCTGGTAAATCAACTTTTATACATCTACTCCAACTTCATCCCACCTACTCACATATGTGGACGCACCCACAGTGTCTAAGCTATGCCCCTTTGAATCATGATTAGATTTGGTGTATGGTTAGGCTAGATAAGATTGCCTATCAATACTTATCTCCCTGGCTCGCCGTTATAATGGATATCGGTGCCGGTGTATCGGTAAACCGCCAAACCCTAATCCTTCTGCCTAACTAACTTGATTGTGGCCTCGATCTTGCACGTATCTGGCAATTCAGGTCTTTTGTCTTCATCTTTCACTAATGACAGTGTATTTCAGGATCGACGTTCTGAAGGTACCCTTCTCCTCCTCCCGCTCTATAGGTCTGTTGGAACAACAGCCGCCATATCTCGTGCACTAGTCTTTGAGTTGTCAGACTCCATGGTTTTAGACAGCGAATAGGTATCAAATAAAGTGCAAACTGACGCAGCAAAGCTGACGGAAGTCAATGACCTGAATGCAAATCAGGTGGAAGGTTCCGTTGAACTACGCGTTGTACGCGTGGCTACCCTACTACGTGTACGTGCGTCAATGTAAAGCTACAGATAAGCAGCAAAACATCTCTCTCGTCATCCGATTGCTGCAAGCTTGATTAATTAGAATGTGAAAGGGTAAGGTAATAGCTCCAGGGGCCAATTAAGCATCCCTGGCGTACTTTGGTTGTTTCCACTGTCATCTCTTGTTTCTATCGTTTAGAAAGCATTCTACCTGGGGATATTTGTCGAGAATCCTTTCGTTGCCAAGGGAATGATGAGTGGACATATTTGTGACCAGTGCTCGTGTGTCTGTATGCTCGTGTATCGACACTGATTTCGCACGGCTGAAAGACCATTGTGACCATAGAAACTTTTAGCACATCAACTAAACGTTTTGATCATCATTGAGGGCTCACAAAAAGACTTATGGACGCCCAGAGATCTCGTCTCTGTGCCTACAAACAAATTAGATTTCAGTACCAAGGACAGCACCACCTCTCAACAGAAGCTTCCGTTACGTCTAGGTGTTGTGAGTGAGGATACTTCTACTGTGCTTGGTAACAAAGTTTTCTGGTATAGACGCTTGCTCTAGGAAAAGAAGAAAAAATACATATTTAATTATTATGAATATGATGCTATTATTATTCTAGTTTATTAAGTATTTTATTAGTTTCCATAGCAGATGAGGAAGGTCCTAATGAAAACAAAGGCCCGAATTTTTACCGACAGGGTAGGACATGATGGGGAGATTAAAAATTTGTGATTTTCTCAATCGCTGTAGTTACCATGGACCTTCGATCACATATCTATAGAATGCAATTAGAACGGGGCCTTCTAAGAATCGTTCATATTGTTATCTATTTGAACCAGTCAACCCCACTGCAATTTGCCAATCTAATGTAGTTCGTGAGTCTGAATCGATATCGAGAAACTGGCACAGGTATGGCTGACGAATTGGACCCGGAATTGTACGTTGGAGATAGATAGACGTACGTGAGCAATAACAAGTTCTTATTCATAGTAAAGCCGACACGACGAGATTGCAAAATGACCCACAGAATAAACTACTGTCCATGTGTTGTTATCAAAACACGGTATCAAACATGGAGGGCAGATTAATAAAGATGATCCACTTTTCATTATTTAAGAAACTGAAATTTCAGATGTATAAGTCACATGGTTGTTTATACACACGTGTATACAAACTGGAATGTAAAACTGAGTCAGTCCAAGTCAGTAGTTTCACAACAGACGAGCCTGCAGCGATCCTGAGTATAGTACTAGTAACTGTATTTTAATTGTTGTCATGACAACGTATGCAACTGTTACTTCAATGTGATGTAAATTAATAGAGCCATTTCCTGGAGAGTAACATAACACGTTGCCTACTGGGTTGTTGCTTGGTTTGGTAATGTCCATATAGCAACTGTAGTTATGTAAGTAATACGCGACCAGATTTAGACGAGTTAACAAGATTCTTCGCCATTCTTCGCCTATTTTTGATGCCTTGATTCTTCACGCTGTCATCCCAAGGACGCCACTTGAAAGGGGAAAGTGTTACATGTACATAATATATGTGCAGACGTTTAATCTAATTTGTGAGGGATGGCGTGTATTACAAACGATTTGATTTAAGCGAACCAACACCGACAAGTGGATTACTAGTATGTGCGTATGTATACCACATGCTTCTCATAGTGACAAAACATATCACTTAACTTCTAAGTATAGATAAAATTTGTTAGCTGCGAACAGAGTCCGACAGTAGATTTTGTACGTCCGTTCCAGCACGTTACCAACACGTGTCCAACGGCCGAGACACTGGTTTATATCTTAGCACAGTTATCTCACTCTGACACCGCCTTTACTGTTATCAAACACGACTAATCGCGTCTTACTATCAATCCTGGATGAGCTAGTAACAAAAAAGTTGATCTAGAAAAACGAACGGTCACAGAAGGCCTTTTAACAACATTCGGTCATCATAGGAGGAAAGTTGCGAAAGAAGCTACATGTACTTCGTTACAGGGCTAATTAGGTGCGACAGCGACATGATTTGACAATGTCCATAACAAATGTCATCCATATCATGTTATACGTAACGCTGACATCGGAGCTGTGTTAGACCGTCAAAACACAGTAGTTTCATCAGCTTGAAAGGTCACAAACTGCGTACGTATTGGCCCCAAAAACTGACATGTACATAATATATGTGCAGGAGTCTAATCTAATTTTTTTAGGGATGGCGTACGTTACAAATGAACCAATTTCAGCGAGGAAAGTCCAACAAGTGGATTACTAATAGGTGATACGTATGTGTCGCCCAAATACGTATGTTCTCACTGCTTCTGCTAAGTTGAATAATGGAACGAAACACAATATTCACTCTCAAAATCACATCTCCGTGCTGAATTTCTGTAGGTCCAAAACACTTCATTTGCCCGATTTGCCCTGATGCACTGTAATCATTACCCCAGGAAGCCGTATAGTAAACTAAAAGTAGATAATCACATTCTACCTTGAAATACATTGATATGAGGTATAATGATTCATTCATACACACATCAGCATGTCGAGTGCAGCCACCGTGTTCGTTAAGACACATGTAGATAAAGGTTGTACAATTACTGTTCGGTACCTCTGGTGCATACACGTATGCCATTAACGATGCTAGGGGGACTTATACCAAGCCTTGTTAGTTTCCATAGAGGATAACTAAAGGATTTGTTACTTAAGAGGTGACTTTTCGTGGTTAAACCGCGGCGTTTGGAACAAATGATTAAATTTACATCCAGGCCGGGAACTTTTAAAGAGACTTGCACACAGTTTATACCCTCTCTGGAATATTGCAACTTTATATAATTTTGCGTTCGTGAAAAAAATAAACTAGTCAGGTAATTACCTCCATGACATGATACACGTTATTAAAGATAAAAGGAAGCCAATATACGTACTACAAGCTACCAAATTTTATTCCTGTGCATTGGCAACCTTGGTCGGAATATTACGGAAAATGACAATTCGCAACTAGCTGCGCGGGTCGATGCATACATCGGCTACATTACAAAAAAAACTATAGCAAAGAGCTACACAGATATTCGAAAGGCAACACATCAACCAACACACATCAAGCTTAATTGCACGAAAACTACATGGCAAACTAAGTCGAAATGGTACATTACATAATAATTCACAACCTGCTATACGGGCCATTAGTTTACATTACATGAATAACAATAGCGAAAAGTTACAGAATGGAAGTTTGTACTGTTAATAATCTACGTTGATAGTCTAGATATGAAATATGTTTAGTTTTGATCCATGGAACTGCGTTTTGTTCGCTATTGGAACTTGTACAAGTATGACCAGTATATTTTCAATATGGAACAAAACACATGTATAAGCCAAAACACATGTATAAGCAATCCTGCATATATCAGCTGAATTCTTGAATATCAATTAAAGTTCAGTCTGCAAATACGCTGGTCAAATATGCTAATGAAATGTAAATATAAAATGCCGTTCACCACGGGCGTTGATGCTTATACATCAACCCCCGTAACTTGTCCGCATCGGCACCCACCATCTGTTCAACCTGTAATAGTAACAACAACCAGCACTTCATCGCGTTTCTGGACTGAATACAGAATATTTTTCATGCACAGATCATTAACTGTTGTCCATTTATCTATTTCATCTTGAATAAGACTTGGTGGCCCTTTCAACATTAATTGCTGATTTCCAAGAGGACCCAGGGAAACATATCATAATACAATTTGTATTAAATGAAAATTATAAAAGTAATATAACATAACATAACATAACATAACAAAGAAATGTAAACTGAAATCAGTATAGCTGAAAATAGAATTCAAGTAGATAATGGAAGATATATGGTTGGCTCATTAACGGCGCCAGTTACCTTGAAATCATGAATCAAAATTTATGTATAAAAATTGCATAAAACGTTTGCAATAATGCTGACCTATTGTTTGAAGATGGCTAGGGTATAGACAGCTCTCTCAGGGACACAAGATGAAACAATTACAAATGCACACAGTACCTTGTCGCCATTTTTGATGAAAAAGAAGGTTGGCATACAGCTGACTTTCCACTCCGCTGCAACGTCCTGCATGAAAAATATATGGGTATATATGGATGTGTCTGTAAATAACATAATGTTCTAAATAAGAAGACACACACGCGCACACATACACGGTGTCATGCAGTTACTGAGTGATGACCTATCGAAGGGACAAGCAAAACGCTGCAAGCAGTTGGAGACAAAGCGTCAGAAGCGAAAAGAGAAACTACAACTACGTGCACAAAATATTTCAACTTTGTTGTGTCTCAACTGTGGCAGGCCGGGACACCTACAAGTAAATCAATTAGAAACATATAATTCCGTAAATGTTAACATCATTTGGCGAAGGTATGAGATCGTGGAACTCTAGCTACTTACGTCAGCTACATCGATGTCCACTGTACCACAGACTACCCGAGGAAACTCAGCAGCCATCTCCTGTAACAAAATATGATGACAACGATGGTAAAACCGTTCTTGACTCTTAACTGCTAGCTTTGGTGGTGATGCATTGATTCAGGTAATTTTTGTGCAAATCTGAAGGTCACTGACAACCCAACGTAAGTGAAAAAAAATAATTCATGGAAATCTCAATATTTGTAAAAGATACCAATAAGAGAATTCTTGTTTTGTTCAAAGAGTCCCTTCAATACCGTTAGTCACAACCACCGTTGCTCATTAGCCTGGTTACCAGACCTATTACAGCTCCCAAGTCCTACATCCTTTTTGCGGAGAAGATGAAGGACTCGGGAGCTATAAGTATAATAGGTTTGGTACCCAGGCAAGTTGCTCATATCTGCTTATACAGACATATTTCAAAGCACTGTGAAAACTCCTGTAAATAAATTTTGTACATTTGCTATATGGACAAGACCTTTTTGTGTTGACGTTGGTTAAAATAAAGTTGATGCAACTATCTTAATGTGACAGATGTTGCTTACCTCAACCTTCGGTGCAATCATCTTGCATGGACCACACCAAGTCGCAGTGAAGAACACTACAACAAGCTTGTCCTTGTTCAGTTCCACAAAGTAATGAAATGCTTCCTGCAGTTTTCATTTGATGTCATTAAAAAGAATGTCGTTAAAACGTGCCTTCAATACAATAAGGTAGGATAAAATACAATTCGTTTTGTGTTTACCGAAGGAAAACATATTGATTTTTTTCTTCCTCTTCTTCTCCAAACACTGATCTCTGACCTGGTCAATGACCTGAAACAATACCGTGACGTCAACACGTGACGTCAAAAGTCTCTCATCATAGTAACAGGTGTTGGGTTACATAATGTTGCAATTTTATAGTAGGAGAGATTTAGACTGCTGACACCATATATGTGAATATGTTTGAGTAAGAATTAACAGAGAAGAATACATGTGAAGGTAAACATTATGCATTTGCTTTGCAAATGTTACCTTTCTAGCTCAAATTTTTAAATATCATACCATGTGTGGCATAAGCCTGAATTTTATTCAGGAGGGGTGAAGACTGCCTTATGAGATGACTTATGTTGTTGTCAGAGGAAACAAAACTTCCGAGGTGTTAAAAGTTGCCATCATACTGTTGCATTATTTATATCCTAGTTTAAACTAAAAGTAGACTAACTAGAGTAAATATTTATTTATAAATGTGCAATAAACTTACGTTGGATTTACATGTATTTTCAATCGACTAAGCTCTGAATTTTGTCGGGATGTCAAAAGTGACGTCATATCAAATGTTCTTAGTTTGATACATGTAGATAACTAGAATACCACGAGCTAATACATTCGCTATATGATGTTAACTTTTACAAATGATAAATGTCTCTCATTTATTATGCAAATTAGGTCCTCATTTGCACAATTGATACCATTTCATGACATTCTGTAACCAAATAACAAGAGCTCTACAATAAATCTTATCTTACAAACAAGCCTATTCTAGCATTTCCTTACTACTTATGCAACTTATTATATAAGTTACTTAGCCTATAAAATCTTATCATTTTGCTGTGTCATCCAGGCCTATTCATGATCACATATCAAATATCATGTAAGGAGAGTCAGACAGTGGATCATACATCTGACGAAGGTTTGGTTGACGAGATCGACCGAAAATTTATAGTTTCTTTTTTTGTGTGTTGGAACTAAGCTCAAATTCTATAACTATGGATTCTACCAACACAGATGAGAACTAGATACATGCATCATTATACAAACGATTATAATGTAAGTTAAAGAGACCGTTCGACATTTTTCTGTGACGGGCTACCTCGAGGGCACATTCCAGACCTGTGAGACATAAAGGTCATGTCATGTATATGACGTCACACAACAAAGCTGCGGTACCGTGCAGCTTCAGAGAACCGTTCACGCGAAACGTAACAAAACAAAGGGGCGGACATAGGATCTATATTTTTGTTTTCCGCATACGAAACGTTATGCCACACCTAACCACAGCTTACTCTTTGCACTGCATTCATCAATGGTTCTGGTTAACCTACCATACAATACAATACTCAGTGTATAAGGTAAAACGTTCAGGTGTAATGCAGAAGACAACAGTTACGTCACTCTGGAACTGGATAGATTTTGAAAACTGTCAGCTATCATGGTGGTTACAAACTGGTGTTACAGGTTCGCTGAATGCCCAGATGACGAAGAATGGAACTCTTACCTTGCTTTCAATCATTTGCACTGACTCGGCACTGCACACGGAGAAAGACAACTGCACTGTGAGACACGTAAGGCCAAAGTACACCCAGCGTGAACACATCTTAAAAGGATATAGTAAAAAGTGTAGCCTATTTTGTTGGGCGCCTGGTTGGCAACTTCATAGGAGAACACTTCACGGGTCAAAGACCACAAAAAGGACTAGTCCATTCCAAACAGGTGTCCCTGGGCCATAATATTAATAACGTTGAACCAAGGACTCTGAAGACCCCCAAATTATTGCGCGAGGGCGAATAAAAAAATTCAACCAAAAATGATGCTAAACCACAGAAATACAATGCTGGGATTGTGGCACATGGCTACTCTTACCACAAGCTGGCACATGCTTGCATTTATAATTTTGAGTCGGCACTGTACTGAGTTCTTGAGCTCAGTGGAGCTTCGGCAGCCTGGGTGCCATCCTCCGCAGTCCGGCTCCCAATTGTCGCTAGCTACCATGGACTACGGACCACTATGCCACCCAGGCCAGAGCCTCGCAAGAGATCTTCCAGAAATTAAATCAGTGTGGCCTAACCAAAAATAGCCATGATGGTGACCATTTTGCATAATTCATGAGGAAATGCTAGTAAGAATAACCTTATTTCTTAAGGTAACCCTGTCATTGGGTGGAGAATATGATCAACTGATATAATATATGCAAAGGAATTCTTATAATTTGCATATTCGCAGTAAAAAAATGTATAGTCAGTTTGGAAGGTTAACATGATTTGGCAAATTAAAGGTATGTCAGAGGTCGTGCTTAGGCCACACCAAGTAAATTTTATGGATGACGTCCTTTGGAGACCCTAAATCTAATGCGAGAGGGCGAAAAAAAAACAAGAAGGGCCCTAAAAAGATGCCTAGATTAGAAATACACTAAGAGACGACAAATGTTAGGACACAAATTGAATTAGGTGACACAGTGTAACAAGCAAGAAGTATTTTATTCATCATCAAAACAGCAATAAATCAGGATTCAGGTGGAACAGTGGACAGTGAAAAAAATTCTGTTATTGACAGGATGGTCCTGTCAATAGACACTTTCTTCGCGTTACGGGTTTCACGTCAATCTGACGATTTACGGCACTGTCGTGACTCTTTGGTCATAGTTACAGGAAGCGAAATTTCTTGTTGTTTTTTTCTAGGATGAGGCCAAAATCAATGCGCGCGCGGACGTCATCCATAAAATTTACATGGTGTGGCCTTACGTATAACCAACGATATCATACTTTGTCCATGCCAAATGATAAGGATTTCACCTGTGTGTTGAACGTTACTAGGTAGAGGCTATGTGAGTAATTTGTATACAAATTTTGCTAATGAGCAGGATTGTATTTGTAAGCCATTTACAGGTGGTCATCACCATGCATAAGATTTACGAAAGCACTAAACAGGTCATGGAGGTATGACGATCGCTGAACTCTAGTTCGGTATATGTAGTATGAGAGTACAGTCTGGTTTCAGCCCGGGAATCAGCGGACGGATTCTTAAAATCCGTAATTGCACCTTTCACAATCTGCCGAGGATGTGTGATTGGATGTGACAAAAGGGGGAGTAAACCCATGGGATTTCGCTGAGATCTGTGTTACTGTAGTCTTTTATTTGTTCTGGAGTGCATAAATGGATTTACAATCTTT